TTATGTGGAACCCCTTGTCATGGGTCATGCAAGCTGCTGCTATTATGGCCATAGCACTTGCTAATGGAGGTGGAAAGCCACCAGATTGGCCGGATTTTGTTGGTGTCGTCTGCTTGTTGGTCATCAATTCTACTATATCATATATTGAAGAGAACAATGCAGGAAATGCTGCAGCTGCGCTCATGGCTAATCTTGCTCCAAAGTGTAAGGTAAGATTTGTGGCGAACTGGCAATTATAAGCTTGTGTAATTGAGGTTATCTTTCATGTCAATCAGACATATGGAAAGGCCATGTACTACTCCCTCATCTTTTGTTGTTGCTTATTTCCTTTTTTTTTTGGTTCTCTTTGGATGGAGTGCAGTTGCTAAGGGATAACAAATGGAGTGAATCAGAAGCTGCATTGTTGGTACCTGGAGACATCATCAGCATCAAATTGGGTGACATTATCCCTGCTGATGCACGTCTTCTTGAAGGTGATGCCTTGAAGGTTGATCAGTCTGCTCTTACCGGAGAAACATTTCCTGTTACCAAGAACCCTGGGGATGAAGTTTTCTCTGGATCAACATGTAAGCAAGGTGAGCTTATGGCTGTTGTTATTGCCACTGGTGTCCACACCTTCTTTGGGAAGGCAGCTCATCTTGTTGACAGCACCAACAATGTTGGTCATTTCCAGAAGGTTCTTACCTCCATTGGTAACTTCTGCATTATCTCCATTGCGGTGGGTATGGTGATTGAGATCATCGTAATGTATCCAATCCAGCGTCGTAAGTACAGGGATGGAATCCATAATCTGTTGGTTCTCTTGATCGGTGGTATCCCAATTGCCATGCCTACAGTGTTGTCTGTAACTATGGCTATTGGGTCCCACAGGCTGTCTCAACAAGGAGCTATTACAAAGAGAATGACTGCCATTGAGGAAATGGCTGGTATGGATGTGCTCTGCAGTGACAAGACTGGTACCTTGACTCTCAACAAGTTGAGTGTTGACAAGAACTTAATTGAGGTATTTAGCAAGGGCATGGATAAGGAGCATGTTCTCCTCCTTGCTGCAAGGGCCTCACGTGTTGAGAACCAAGATGCTATTGATACTTGCATGGTTGGAATGCTTGCTGACCCCAAAGAGGTAATGCTGTTATTGTCTTGGTAATCTGTGTATCTAGGAATACAGGTCTATATTGTGTAAACGGTTTAATATTTCAGGTGGTTGATTTTTTGAATCTTGAATGTTGATATGTAGGCTAGAGCTGGAATTACGGAGGTGCACTTTCTTCCATTCAATCCTGTGGAAAAAAGAACTGCTTTGACTTACATAGATGCTAGTGGAAACTGGCATAGAGCTAGTAAAGGTGCACCTGAGCAGGTAAAATTACGTTCTTTTAGATGTGAGTTTATGCTCTTCAAAACGTTTCTTTCTTTTTGGGCTACAAATATGCGATTCTTTATTTTTCATTATGCAGATTCTTGACTTGTGCAATTGCAATGATGCCATCAGAAAGAGGGTTCATGAGGCGATTGAGAAATTTGCTGAACGTGGTCTTCGTTCATTGGGTGTAGCAAGACAGGTTCGAAGATAAAGATAATGTAAACAGCTTCTGCTTATTAAATTAGGCAGGCTTATAACCTTAATCTAATTTTGCAGGAAGTGCCTGAAAAGAACAAGGAATCTCCAGGTGCACCATGGGAATTTGTTGGTTTGTTGCCACTTTTTGATCCTCCAAGGCATGACAGTGCTGAAACCATTCGCAGGGCCCTCAACCTCGGTGTCAATGTCAAGATGATTACAGGTAAGTTGATCATCATATAATGATTCTTAAATTGTGGTCATCACTTATAGATAACCTGGTTGTAGTTTTCATTAAATTTTTTGTTCAACACTACAGGTGATCAACTTGCCATTGGTAAGGAAACTGGTAGAAGACTTGGTATGGGAACAAATATGTACCCATCGTCTGCTTTGCTTGGAAAAGACAAAGATTGTGCCGGCCTTCCTGTTGATGAGTTGATTGAGAAAGCTGATGGTTTTGCTGGAGTATTCCCAGGTGAGAATTTTCTGTATATCAAATATTGAAACTGGGGATTACAGTAAAGTAGTAAACTCATATTCTATAATCAAGCCTAACTCCCTATGTTTGTTGTGCAGAGCATAAATATGAAATCGTCAAGATATTGCAAGAGAAGAAGCACATTGTTGGAATGACCGGGGATGGTGTCAATGATGCCCCTGCATTGAAGAAGGCAGATATCGGTATTGCAGTTGACGACGCAACTGATGCTGCAAGAAGTGCTTCTGACATAGTTCTCACTGAGCCTGGTCTTAGTGTTATCATCAGTGCTGTGCTAACCAGCAGGTCTATTTTTCAGAGGATGAAAAACTACACTGTGGGTTTTGTTTACTTTTTCTTTTTCTTTCTTTCTCCTTGCAAGCCTCTAATTTTAGCTTTTATAGTCTAAACTTCTGTTTCTTATTTTTTCGTTTTGGATGCAGATTTATGCTGTCTCCATCACAATCCGTATTGTGGTATGTATATTCCACATTGTCACACAGTCCTGGATTAAGTTATGTGCTGATAAACAATTTCTTTTTTTCTTTCTATTTTAATTTTGTATAATTTTAACAATGTAGGTCGGTTTTTTACTTATCGCTTTGATCTGGAAATTTGACTTCTCACCCTTCATGGTTTTGATTATTGCTATCCTAAACGATGGTAAGAATCTTCGAAATTGATCAACTTGGTTTAAGTTCTGTAGTCATATTTATGTTTTCTTTTATGAAAGAACACCTTATTGCCATCCTGAACCATCTTTCTTCTTCTTCAAGGAACAATAATGACTATTTCAAAGGATCGAGTCAAGCCATCTCCACTGCCTGATAGCTGGAAGCTCAATGAAATATTTGCCACTGGAATTGTTCTTGGAGGTTACCAAGCCTTGATGACTGTCATTTTCTTCTGGATTATGAGTGACACCGACTTCTTTTCTGTATGTAATTGTTTATATTTCATCCTTGGAAAAAAAGATATCCATTTTACAAAATATATTCATACTAAATCTCACATTATCTACTGCCTGTGCCCTCTATCATGTAGGACAAATTTGGTGTAAGAAGCTTGAGAGACAGTCGCGAGGAAATGATGGCTGCTCTATATCTCCAAGTGAGTATCATAAGTCAAGCCCTCATTTTTGTGACCCGGTCTCGCAGCTGGTCCTTTGTTGAGCGTCCTGGTATGATGTTGATGATAGCTTTTGCGATTGCTCAGCTGGTAAGAATTGGTTTGATTAGCCCTTATATCCCTACATGTATATAAATGAAGTCTAAACTGTTATGGTTTGTGGATAATTTTTCTTTCAGGTGGCAACTGTTATTGCTGTATATTTTACCTGGGGTTTTGCTGACATCAAAGGATGTGGATGGGGATGGGCTGGTGTAGTTTGGGTCTACAACATAGTTACTTATTTCCCACTCGACATACTCAAGTTTGCCATTCGCTACATCTTGAGTGGAAAGGCATGGCTCAACCTGTTTAACAGCAAGGTGCGTGATCTCCTATCAAGTACTCATGTCTAGTTCAAAATAATGCGTACATAGCCATAACTCCATAAGTACATTCCCTTAGCTATATAGTCTGGCGTAAGTTGAGTGATTGAAAAGTATTGATATTAGATAACAACGTGATAGGATCATAATAGTAAAGGAAGCAACATATTTTGGATAATAATGCTAAATTGCTAATGTAGTCATATTGAGTTTATTGACTAAAGTGTAATAAATGATGGTGCACACAGACTGCGTTTTCCAACAAGAAAGATTTTGGAAAAGAAGAGAGGGAAGCTCACTGGGCTGAAGCGCAGCGGACACTACATGGGCTTCAACCACCCGAGGCTTCTTCCACCCTCTTCAGTGACGGTGCCAGCTACAGGGAACTCTCCGAGATTGCTGAGCAAGCCAAAAGGCGTGCTGAAGTTGCAAGGTGGGAATGAATACTGCATACTTTACTTGTTTCCATGTTTAGGAACTTGAATATATATATATATATATATATTTTTTTTTTTTTTTTTTACAAATAATAAGTTTCCTTTATATGAATGTAGGCTTCGTGAGTTGCACACGCTTAAAGGACATGTTGAGTCAGTGGCGAAGCTCAAGGGCCTAGACGTCCCCCAAAATTCTAACTACACTGTCTGAAAAACTTAAGTGAGCGAGAGAGCAAGCTAAGAGATCAAGACCTCCGTAAGGGGGTGTGTAGTTGATGACGAAGACGTTTGCTGATTGAGTGATGCTTTAAGAGCAGGGACTAAGTTAAAAGGCCCCAAGTAGTGCAGAAGTTTGTGCATGAAAGTTTATGGAGAACAATTAATTTTATGATGTAAAAGTGTCTCCTAAAACAGACCAATTTTTTTTGTTATGATTATTTTTTATTGTTATAACATACTCCATATCTTATTTGATGTTTCTCTGGAAGTTCAACTAATTTAATAAATTTATTTGATTTTATTCTGAATTTCAACTAGTTAAAATATGAAGAATATTCACTTAATCACTTTACATTATCAATAGTGTGTGCGATGTTAATATTGATGCGTTACCGTTAATATGCAAACCTTAGAGAGTAAATGAGTTGCAGTTCGTATAATATTGACCGAGCAACCCCTTTAACGCTAACGAAATCCTAATATTAACCTCTATAACACTAACGAATTAACTCCTATTATGACTGGCCATAATTTGTGGTTTTTTTATAAAAAAAATTAATTTTCAAAATTGTCTACACATTATTGAAATAATATTGTTTTATTAAGGTATACAAGATTAACTACAAAATTCCAATGGACTAGAGCAAAACAAGTGTTTAATTTATAAATCATCACATATTTATTTTTTCAAATAAAATGCAAAATAGACAAAATTCTTGAAAAAAAATTATCATCCATTATCCATCTGCCACGTGTGAATATTGCTTATCATGGAAAGTTGAGTGATCCAAATTAAAAATGGACACCAAAAAAAATAAGTCACATACTGGTAAAATCCCCAGTTATTCAACTGAAAACAAGAGAAAAATCAACTTGATAATTGCCACTAATATATTTTTCCCAGTAGAAATTTGAAGAAGAAGGTGAAAAAATGATAATGGGATCTTTGCAAAAGAGTTTCTTCTCAAACCCACTACTAATTCAAACCCAGAATCATAAACCCAGAACCCCAATTTCATTTTTCATTGTTTCCTGCAAATACCCACCAAATGATCACCACAATCAAACTGATTCTTCAAGGTAAAATTTTTTCAACTTTTTTTTTTCTTTTTTTGAGATAATTAATTTTGATAATCTAGTTCTTGTATAGTGTAGTAGTTAAGTTTTGTGAATGTATGGAATGTCAGAATGATTTTTTAGTGTAATTATGGCTACTTTTCTTGCTTTATGTTTTTGGTTTAATTTTCTGATAATTGCTTGAATATTTAGTTCAATTTTTTTATCAAAGTGTTTTTTTCAAAGTGAATTGCTATTTTTCTTGCTTTTCCTGATACATTCCTGAGTAGCAATTAGTCTTTGTGTAATTTTTTGGGGAAATAAAAAAGCTAATTTCTTGCTACTAATTTTGGGTTATTTCCCATAAAATTAATTGATAATTCTATATTTCTAATTTGATGAATAATTTTGTTATTTTTGGGTGGTCAGGAAAATAGAGAAGCAGTTGGCAAAGCTAGCAATAGTAACATTGGCAGCAGGACTATTGACTGTTGGATCAGTTGGTGATGCTTTTGCTGCCAAGTCTGGTGGTCGTGTTGGTGGTCAGGCTTTCCGTTCTTCGGCTCCTCGTGCTTCTTCTCCTAGAGTTAATTCTAGGTATAATCTTATTACCCTTATTACTTTTTAGCTTTAAATTTTTTTTATTGTTGGGTTTTCAAGCTTCGAATTGCATGGATTATACTTAAATGCCTCCATTAGTTGTCATGTTATGTAAACTTGATGCATTTTGTATTATAAGTATAATGGAAATGATGGTCAGTTTGCGACTCTAGGGATAAGGTTGTGTACATTTGATACTACCGGTGATGCTGGTTGAAGTGTTGTGATATTGACTATGATTTAGTTCTTATTGAGGTCAGGATGAATGATTTTTGAATTTACATTGAGTGTTTGTCAAGTTATGTGATGAGGAAATGTATTTGTATGAGGAACTTTGGTGTTCTTGATGATTTGTGCAAAAAGTGTAGTATACTTTGACATCATAACTGGAAAGTTCTGTGATTTATTCATACAAAAATGTGTTGCTAATTTATATTGTGTTGAAGTCTTGATCAACTTCAGCGTTGTGGTATGTTATCTGTTTGTAAGGAAGTGTACTTTATTTCAATTCCAAATCTAAAACGACTAAATGAGTACAATCAATACCTGTTATGACTTAAGAGAGCATCCACTGACCTATAACATGCTACAAAACTTTTGGTGCGCATTTAAGTTAATTCTATTCGAAAGCAGCTCTTGCATTATCCTGGAAAGTCCTCATGGCATTCTTTAACATTAAAATAAGAGTTTAGCTCAGTGGAGTCATCATCTCATTTACTTCAAAGGGTTTAAACTGTAGCCATACATGTGTTGGAATCGGAAGTAAAATGTTCTGATTATAACTCTTACTAAATGATCTTGTTCTATTTCTGATGCAGTAATGCTGAATGGTTATGTATACATGACTTTTTTGCTGTAGGGTCATGAGTTCTGAAGTTTGATGTAGGCAAACATTTAGTGAATGTGAATATTATCTTGAACCTTGATTAATCATGAGGCCATTTTGGCTTAAGAAGCAAGTGCTCTCATCTGAAGATTTTTACGCCATTATTAGGCTAAGTGGAATGAAATTCACAGTACCATCTCCTTGTATGACAACCCCTGTACTGAATTAATAATTTAATAGAATCCTCTGCAAATTCCTTCTTTAGTGGCATAACCTTGTGTTTCAAGCTGTAAGCAATGTATCATGCAGAAATCAGTGCACGTGTACTGATAGTTGGACATTTAGTAGATTTTGATTGGACTTCCTAGAGAACTCACAAGAGAAAGGGTATGATATGGAGGTTAATTTGGCCAGACATATCACATCCTAAGTCATTTGGAAATTAAACATGACTATTTGAGTATTATTTGTGGACGGAAGGAATTAGCTTTGGTATATTTATAATCGAGATCCAAAGAAGAATATTAATATTGGAAGAAGTATAGGATACCAGTAAAGAATGATCAGCTATACAATTTTTTGGTTGGAGTGTGTGTCTCTTTATTTTGATAATTTATGTTCTTTTTCGGCAGGACCAACATCTATGTGAATCCACCTGTAGCTCCACCACTTGTTGGTGGCTATGGATTTGGCCCTGGTATCCCATACTATGGTGGATGGGGTTGGTCGCCATTTTCATTTTTTGCCCCAGGCCCCAGTGTAGTGGTTGGCATTGGTGGTGGATTTGACCTGCTTGTCTTGTTCATGGTTTTTGGAGCGGTTTCAGCTGTTGTTAGGAGGTTACTTAGACCTAGGGAAGAAGAGGATGATTATTAGAGCAGAAGATAGCCAACCGAAGGACTCCATGAAGTTGATGATGTATAATTGTATATGACTGATGTTTTGCTACTCAGATTACATATGTAGGTGTAATTATTCCTGAAATTCGAGTATTATCCAGATATTATAAAATACACGTATTGTTTTGCCTCCACTGTTGTTCTGCTTCCATTGCTTTGAGATGAACTCCCAGAACAGGATTACAGGCATACAATTTTTTGCACTTTGGAAAATCTAGTTGCTATGTGCTGCAGGATCTGAAGTATCTGCCTTGTTGGGTATTTGGGTAGAATGACTTCCATTGCAGATTTGCAGGCATACTCAAATTCCGAAATGGGCTAATGGTATTGAAAAATCACTTGAAAGTTGTTTGTGTGATTAATCCTAAACCTCCAAAATTTCTCAAAAAGCGTGGATATTAGACTTCAATTTTGGAATTTTTTGACTTTTTTTCACCCGAAAATAAAAATTGCCGAAATATTTACCATGGTTCCTAATACCCTCCGGGAGTCCAATTGGTTGGGTGGAACCATCCAATTTGCCTTTAAACGACCAATTTACCGATTTACAACTTGTATCGATTTCATTAACTGAAACTTACCACGAACATTTATGACAAAATATAATGATCATATATGGATCCAAACGGCATTATATGACCCCAAGATTAATCCCCTAAAATCTAAAGGATTTTGGACACTGGGCCCCGAAACCTCAAAATTTTCTCAAAAGCGTGAATATTAGCTTTCAATTTTGGAATTTTTTTATTTTTCTTCGCCCTGAAATAAAAATTGCCGAAATGTTTACCATAGTCCCTAATATCCTCCGGGAGTCCAATTGGGTGGGTGGAACCATTCAATTTGCCTTTAAACGACCAATTTACCAGTTTACAACTTGCACCGATTAAATAAACTCAAGCCTACTACGACCATTTATGACAACATATAATGATCATATATGATTTCAAATGACATTATATGACCCCGAGATGTATCCCCTTAAATATCAAAACTTTTCGACACTGGGCCTCGAAACATCCCAAATTTCTCAAAAAGCATGGATTTCAATTTTGAAATTTTTTGACATTTTTTCGTCCGAAAATTAAAATTGCCGAAATGATTACCATGGTCCCTAATATCCTCTTGGAGTCCCATTGGGTGGGTGAAACCAACTAATTTGCCTTTAAACGACCAATTTACCAGTTTACAACTTGCACCGATTTCAATAACTCAAGCCTACCACAAACACTTATGACAACATATAATGATCATTTATGGTTCTAAACGGAATTATATGACCCCGATATGTATCCCCTAAAATCTCATTTCTTTTCGACACCAACCCCAAAACCTTCGAAATTTCACCGAAAGCATGAATATTTGCCTTCAATTTTGAAAATTTTTGACTCTTTTTTGCTCGAAAATAAAAATTGCCGAAATGTTTACCATGGTCCCTAATACCCTCCGGGAGTCCAATTGGGTGGGTGTAACCGACCAATTTGCCTTTAAACGGCCAATTTACCGGTTTACAACTTCACTGATTTCATTAACTCAAGCCTACCACTAACATCTATGTCAACATATAATGATCATATATGGTTCCAAACGGTACTATATGACCCCAAGATGTATTCCCTAAATTCTCAAGACTTTGCGACATCAGGCCCCGAAATTTCCAAAATTTCTCAAAAAACGTGGACATTAGCCTTCAATTTTTGAAATTTTGGACTTTTTTTCGACAGAAAATAAAAATTGCCGAAATATTTACCATGGTCCCTAGTACCCTTTGGGAGTCCAATTAGGTGGGTGGAATCATCCAATTTGCCTTTAAACGGCATATTTACCGGTTTATAACTTGCACCGATTTCATTAACTCAAGCTTACCATGAACATTTATGAAAACAAATAATGATCATATATGGTTCCAAACGACATTAAATGACCCCGAGATGTATCCCCTATAATTTCTAGACTTTTCGACACCGGGCCCGAATCCTCCAAAATTTCTCAAAAAGCGTGGATATTAGCGTTCAATTTTGAAAGTTTTGACTTTTTTTTGCCCAGAAATAAAAATTGCCGCAATGTTTACCATAGTCCCTTATACCGTCCGGGATTCCCATTGGGTGGGTGGAACCATCCAATTTGCCTTTAAACGACCAATTTACTGATTTACAACTTGCACTGATTTCATTAATTCAAGCCTACCACGAACATTTAAGACAACATATAATGATCTTATATGGTGCCAAACAACATTATATGACCCCGAGATGTATCCCCTCAAATTTCAAGACTTTTCGACACCAGGCCCTGAAACCCCCAAAATTTCTCAAAAAGCATGAATATTAGTCTTCAATTTTAGAATTTTTTGACTTTTTCCGCCCGGAAATAAAAATCGCCGAAATGTTTACCATGGTCCCAAATACCCTCCGGGAGTCCAATTGGGTGTGTGGAACCATTCAATTTGCCTTTAAATGGCCAATTTAATTACCGGTTTACAACTTGCACGAATTTCATTAACTCAAGTATATTACGAACATTTATGACAACATATAATGATCATATATGGTTCCAAACAGCATTATATGACCCCGAGATGTATCCCCTAAAATATTAATATTTTTCTACACCAGGCCTCGAAATCTCCAAATTTTCTCAAAAAGCGTGGATATTAAATTTTTTTATTTATTTTTTTCTCCCGAAAATAAAAATTACCGAAATGTTTACCTTGGTCCCTAATTCTCTCCGGGATTCCCTTTGGGTGGGTGGAACCATCCAATTTTCCTTTAAACGACCAATTTACCGGTTTACAACTTGCACCGATTTCATTAATTCAAGCCTACCACGAACATTTATGACAACACATAATGATCATATACGGTTCCAAACAACATTATATGACCTCGAGATGTATCCCATAGAATTTCAAGACTTTTTGAAACCGAGCCCATAAATTTTCAAAATTTCTCAAAAAACGTGGATATTAGCCTTCAATTTTGGAATTTTTTGACTTTTTTTCGCTCCAAAATAATAATTGCCGAAATGTTTAGCATGGTCCCTAATAACCTCCGGGAGTCCAATTGGGTGATCGGTGCAAGTTGTAAACCGGTAAATTGGACGTTTAAAAGCTAATTGAATGGTTCCACACATTATTTCTTTTTCTTTTCTTTTCTTTTCTCTTTTATTTTCTTTTAACCTTGTAATTATAAATACCCATTTTTGGGTTAGAGAGAGAAATAATTAGACAATTAGAATTAGACCATATATTTCTTAGCTTAGTTGAGAGCTTCTCTCTCTAGATCTAGGGTTAGTTTTAGGAGTAGATTTTAGAGAGAGAAAGTGAGGATTTTCAATGGTTATTTGAGAGGTTGAAGATTCAAGATAACAATTATATTAAAGATCTCCATTATCAATCAATGAAGATTTCTCAATCTCTCTCCTCTTTATTGCTTTATTTAATTTCATGTTTGTTTGAATTGATTTTGATGTTTGATGCTTGATTAGTATAGTTGTTCTTGATATATTGTGAATTCTTTATTTCTGTAGTTGATTGTTGATAGAAGATGATACTTGAGAAAAAAAATGGTATGCTCTTCCCAAGTTGTTGCAATTGACATGATTACTTGTTGATCCCCATTCCTAGTGTTTTATTTACTAGGTTACTTGTTTCGTTAGTTGTTAGTATTCTCTCTTACCTTCGTCTTTGACCAAGCTTAGGCGCATAATTAAAAGTGCTTGAACATTACCGTTCCTTTGGGTTCGACCCTTGACTTGCCTCTATACTCGTATTTAGGTTTGTTAAGTGTTTATAAATTTTGTTTGACCGAGGGAAGATTAAATAACGACCTAGTTATCCCCTCGTCAACAAAGCAGCCCGAGGCCGCGGCCGCGGCCAGCTCGCGACAAGTTACTGCTCGAAATCGACTGATTTAAGCTGAAGCCACCCCGTGCTCGCGACCAGCCTTTGGTTGCTGGCTGGGTTGATGTGCGCTAGCTGCTTGGTGGTGCAGCCTAGGTGCGTGGTTGCTGAAGCGTATGGCTGCTCGGGGTTGCTCCTTGCTGTCCGAGGCAGCTTGCTTGGGCTCCTAACTTGGCCGAGCTTGCTTGGCTTCAATTCCTGAACTTGGCTCCGTTGACTTCTCGGGATGCGCTTGAGCTTCCTCCTAGATGATTAAATCTCGGGAAACTCGACACACCTACAAAACAAGTCAAAGAAACGGAGAAGCGAGAGAAATAGCCGAGAAATGAATAAAATAATAAGAAAACCATTCAACGCACGCATTTCTCTAAACTTACACACAAACACACAAATCAAGCATTATTTCCTAGAACCACAACATAAAAGACTAAACACGAGCATAAAAATATGAAGAAAACCTAGTCTAAGAGTGTCATAAATGCCACGCATCAGAGGGCCTCAAAATCTTGATCGTACATACCCTCCAACCAGATTTGCATACCCTTCATTTAAGCACTAAGGGCATCTAAGTCGGAGTTATAATATTGGTGTTGTTGTTCTTGATGATGTTGTTGTTGTTGTTGTTGTGGAATTTGTTGTTGATGATGTTGTTGCGACTCTTCTTCTTCTTCTTCTTCTTCTTCTTCTTCTTCTTCTTCATCATCATCATAATAGGGTGGGCGGTGACTCAAGGGGATATGCCAAACATTCACCACATTCTCGCGGTGTTGCGAAGTCAAGGAGGGGTTAGGGAGATAGCACCAATGCGTGTTATCCCTAAGCCAATTAAACACCTCGTCATCATTGTTCTTTGCTAAAAACTGAATTTTCATTAATTACTTGATGTCGAGGTATAGAGAATCATCATCTCCCACCGGAGTACAAGACGACTAATAGTTATCGAGCTCAAGGTTGGTCACTAGCTTTGTGACCATGCTACCACATGGAATCTCGTCGGATTCCCTATCTTACAAACCTTGGCAATACTTCACAAAGGTGTACCCCAATTTAATTAACTTACACCGAACCCGACTTGAACCGAAATTGATCCATACCCGTTTTAACCCGTCAAAACCCAAATTTAACCCGACTTGTTACTAATCTGACCTTAATTCAACCCGACCCGAAATTAACCCAACCTGTTTCAAACCCAACTTGTTATTGACCTGACCCAAATTCAACCCGACTTGTTATTAACCCGACCTAAATTTTACTATACCTATTTCTAACCCAAACCAAAAATTCAACCCGATCTATTACTAACCCGACTTGAAATTAACACGACTTGTTATTGACCCGACCTAAATTCAATCCAAATTGTTCCTGACCCGATTTTAAATCACCTTAAAATGCAATTTAGACCACCTTATTATTATTGATCAAAGCATTTTGTCTTGGGAGACCAAGTCGGTCCAGGCCAGCAAAAGAAAGGAGCATCATTCTCAAATTTAAGAGTTAAATATAGTATATATTTGTTGTATGGTCAAAGGAAATAATTATATTCCTAAATTATGGAGTATAGTTTCCTTGTATATTGCCATATATATTATAGTCAAAGGAAATAATTAGCTTGATAAAAATGATAATTATCTATTTATAGTTAGTTGAACCCGAATATGACCTGACTTGGAAATGACCCGACCTGATTGTAATCTGCAAATTATTGACTTGAATCCGAGAATGACCCGACTTGGAAAATGACCCAATTTGATTATAACCCGCAAATTATTGACTTGAACCGAACCCGACTTGAACCCGAGAATGACTTGACTTGAAAATGACCCAACCTGATTATAATCCGCAAATTATTGACTTGAACCGAACCCAACTCAAACCCGAGAATGACCCAACCTGATTCTAACCTGCAAATTATTGACTTGAACCGAACCCGACTCGAACCCGAGAATTACCCTAACCCGTTTTAACTCGTGAAAACCCGCATTTAACCCGACCTATTGTTCACCCGACCCGTATGTAACCCGACCTGTTATTAACCCGACCTAAACCCGATAAGAAATATGAGCCGAAGTGACCCGACTCAAGCATGACCCAACCCAAACCCGACCCGTAGAGGTTATGGAATTAATCTAAATTGACCCGATCCGAGTTGACCCGACCCACTCTTACCCGACCCAAACCCGAGCCGTTTACCCGAATTGATAGCTCTAGTAATTATTATTCATGTATTCAAATAGAATAGATTTTGAAATGCTAATTGGGATTTTTGGCATACTCAGTGTATCCTATGCACAATGCTAAGTAGCTACACCAAATACCTCTTATTAAACTGGAAAGAGAGTTGGTTTCCTTAATCTAAAAGGCAAAAAATTGAAAAAAGGTTTAGATAGATTATTTATTTCTTTCAAAACAAATTATTTCATCCATAAATTTACGTCTAGGTTAGAAATGGTCCGAACACTTTCCCTGAATCAATTTTCGGATCATAATCACTCCAATGCTAAAAGGTATAAAATATGGGAGGTGGAAATGAAAGAAACAAATTCAAATGAAGGCCTTGAAGCCAATATATTGCAGATAACAAGCTCAGAAAACTTTGTTTCAATATAAATACAAGTAACCACTAAGAATTTTGTGGAACTATGCACTAAAAGTAACCCTTTCAAGAGAAATTTATATCCACTGCCTCGTACAATATGCAGTGTCTGGTAATCTACCAAGTATCGAGGGAGCAACTTATCATCTTAGAAACGTGAGCATTCCAAGGCAATCTTCTGAAATGAATTCTAACAGAGGGAAAAAAATGAACTTGGAAGTTCAGCTTCTCTCTGTCACCAACAAAATTCTGTTTCGTGGTTGGGAATGTCTATTCAATCAGCTGGACAGAAGCTATTAAAGGGATTTTCTCTCTTAGCTTCTGTGTAATGGCAACGCGTACTGTCATCACCCCAGCTGCAGGTCCATTGAGCCGCACTTTGACAACATAATCTTCAATTTTGTCGAGTTCAAGCACCCCACCTCCTGTGCCTGCTAAGTATGGCCTAATCTCGGCTAGAAGCTGAAGAAACAAAGTTGTATACTTCATTAGCAGAGCTTTACAGTTACATAATATGTGACTGCTCAAGTGTTCTACAGAAATAACCCCTTCAGAAAAAACTACAATTTTCTGTGAGGTGAAACATCAAGCATATATACGAGATTGCCTTTAAGCACGACTATTATTATATTTTTACATAAATCCCCTAATAATTCTATTTCTTATTGCATGTTTTTAACCAGTAAACCTCCTTAAACAAAGGTTCACATAGATCATTTTAGGCTCGAAAATGCAGGGGATATGGTATGAAAACAAAGCTAGTTCATGCCAATAATTAAAGCTAATTGACAAATGTACTAGCTTTCTCAAGTTCTCAACACTTAAAGTGAATAGATTGGAGAGGATGGCAAGGCCTAATTTCTTGGAAGATAAACTGCATTAGTCAGGTGCTCACCTTTTCGACATTTTCCTCATTGAGTTCCAGGCCAGTCTCGGTGTCTAGGATCTGTTCTACCTCCAAAATTTCAGGGATCTTATCACGAAGACGAGTTTCAATCCCCATCTTCAAAGTCATAGTTGAACTTGGGCATGACCCACATGCTCCTTCCAGCTTCAGCACTACTACCAAACCATCGATTTCGTGCAATGACACATTTCCTCCATCAGCCATAAGGCCAGGCCGCACCTCATCCAGCACCTTCTCCACATTCTCTTCGGTTAATGGAAGCACACAAGTTGGTGACACCACATTTCCTACAGTAAAGCACAACACATCGATAAAATGTACCATTAGTTGTAAAAGTTATGCCTCGGAGATAAAGTGCATATAGTACTTATCAAGCTCTTCTATAATAGAAACATGAATCTAAATACTACATTGATTCATTTGACTATGATCATATAATTCATATCAGACATCAGAATTACTCCGTAGGAAAAAAGGGATTTTTTACTGGCTCAATTACAACACCCTTGCAGTTCAATCATTCCAACTTCAATCAAACAATTAAAACCTTAATTTCATAAATGGTATCGGCTAAATGAATCAAACTTGATTATTTCATGTAGTCATCGACAAAAATCTTCCCCCTCCATCCCTTACAATCCAATGCTTCAATCATTCCAACTTCATATATATAACTTTTGTTACTCGTGTATTACAAAATTATCACTTGATTTACACCCCTTGTTAATCGAGGCCCCCATTTATTTAGGGACTCGTGCAATCACTCATATCCATTAATAAAAAATTGCCACTACGACTCGTGTAATTTGAACTAGCAATGCCACAACAAATTAGAAAAATCAAAGCAACATTATCAAGAATATATTTCTGACTATATTACTATCATCAGTTCATAACTTCAATGCAAAATTTCCTATTTCTAATAAATTTCAAAATCAAAGGTCTAAAAAACTAAAATAAATAAATAACATTGTGTATTCTTCTGACTTACCAGCTTGAATGTTCTTACGTACACAATTATCAAATTTAAAAAAATTGCTTGAAACAAATTGACCTCTGACATAACTGCTTTGTTTCCCAGAAAAAATGCTGCACTTTGAGTTACTTCTATGCACCTGCAAATAAATAAAGTAATCAAAATTAAGAATTAAATATGGGGATATAAAAATTCTGAAAAACCCAGAAAAATGAATGATAAAGTTTGAACCTTGACAAGAGAGAAAGCAGAAATTGGGAAATTTTTATGTTGATTTTGGTGATTATAAGAGGAAGAATGAATTAGTAATCTTTCTGGGTTTGGCTTATGAGCCACTGATAATACTCCCATATTTTCTGTTTCATTCTATTCAATAGAATCTGGTGACTCCCACCATTGATTAAAGGTTGATTTTAAAAAATTAAAATAAATGTAATTATGCAATGAAATGAAATGGAGAAAATGAAAGATGATATTTTTAGATAATTACAATAATCTAATTTGATGCAGGAAATTGATATTTTGAAACATTTTTTTTTTTAAAGTTATGATAGGATATTAGGATTTAATAGGTTTATAGTTGAGAAGGGTGGAGAGATTGCCACGTCACAATCTCATAGATAATTTTTTTTTTTAGGGAAATCTCATAGATAATTCAATTTTTATAAAGGTGTAAAAATGAGAAGTATCATATTTTCCATTTTTATTTGTCAATTATTACTTTTTTTTTTAATAGGGTCAATTATTACTTCATGCAACCTAGAGTAAATTATTTCATGCACCTAGAGGTATCAAGTTTGTGGCACACCAGTTTGTGGCACGTTTAAGTCGTGCACTCGCATAGGCCAGTCTATTACAATTTATCATCATATACGAAAGGTGTATATTTGAGGAATGGATATTGATACTCTTGGAAACGATATCAAATGTATGTACAAAGTTTTTTTTGGTGTTCTACCCGGTTCACCCTTTGGGCTAATCCGAATTCGGGGATCAGTTCTGGGTGGTTAGGTTCCAGTCCCCTCCCAATTGTTTTTGTGGGGGATCGAATACGGGTCCTCCCTACCAAGTGTAGTCCCAATCACCACTACACCAACAGCCAATTGGTAATTGAGCTTAATTCCAACTAGAAACATTCAAGTATTAGCTTGATACAGCTGTAATTTCTTATAAAAGAATTTTTCATCCTGTTATGAAAAAATCATCATGAATCTCACTAATCTGAATTACAGTGGCTAAACAAAAAGATAGCAAAACTGAGAGACGGGACATCTGAAATTTTCCCTATTATACAAAATTACATCAGGAAGTTACAGTTCCTCGTCCTGCCTAATGCGAGATATGAGCCGATGTAAAGATTGATCATCAAAAGAGTTATCCTTCTCCTTGATTCTGGTAACAAAATCAAAAGCTTCTCTATATTTGTTTGCTTTACAGTAACCATCTACAATAATCTTATAAGTCAGCTCATTAGGCCAACAATCATGCTGAATCATATAGTTTATAACTTCATCGATCTCTGAAAACATCCCTCGCCCTGCATAACCAGCCATGAAAGTGTTGTAGGTGACTATGCATGGGCGTATACCTCTTGTTGTCATCTCTGACATAATCTTTATTGCTTCCTGCATCAAACCTTGCCTGCAAAATGCTTTGATGACTGTGTTATAAGACACAAGATCAGGTTTTCCACCGCTTTTCAGCAGGTTTCGCAATACCTCATCTGCCTTCCAACATTCCCCAGCTCTTGCATACATATCCATCAAGCTATTGTAAGTTATTAGATCAGGCTGCAATCCATTCTCTTGAATCAAGTGCATGATTTCTTGAGCACGGTCATACATTTTGTTCCTTGCATAAATTGAGAGCATTGAATTGAATACAACTAAATCGGGCTTATACCCACTTTTCTGCAACTCCTTGAATGCTCTCTCCATACCGGGCAGTGCCCTACATTTGAAATTTGCAAGGACAAGGGTCCTTAGAAGCATCCAGCTGGGAAAAATTTGGCCCTGATATATCTCTGTTTCAATTCTTTGTATGCCCTTCACGTTCCCTCCCTTCGCATAACATTGAATCATTGAGGAGTAAGAGGTGTCATTAGGCTTAAATCCCTTGTTCTTCATATCAAGCATGATTGATTCTGCTGCTTGCCAATCTCCCTTTCTAGCCAACGCATTCAAAAAAGCATTGTAAGTTGTGACACATGGGCTAAAACCTGCTTCCATCATCTCCTCAAATATCTTGGTAGCATCAATTCGTGAACCACACCGACCATATGCACTGATCAAAGTGTTGAATGTATCCCGGTCAGGCTCAAAACCACTACGTTTCATCTCCTGGAAAACCCGATTCACAAACTTCTCCTTGCCAGTACTACCACACATTGCAAGCATTGTGTTCCATGTAATTCGATTAGGAGAGCACCCGGTTACCTTCATGTCAAACAATATCTCTATCATCTCTTCTGATCTTGACTTCTTCCCTAGCATCCCGAGGATAGAATTGTAGGTACAAACATTAGGAACACAACCAGAAACCTTCATATAATTGAACAAAGCCAAAGCCTCATCAACCTTTCCAGCTTTCCCATATGCATCAACCACAGTGGTATAAGTAATTGCATTGGGCATTATCCCTTTACGAGTCATTGTATCTATCACAGCAGCTCCTTCTTCAAGAAACCCCGCCCTCACATATGTAGCAACTAGCTCATTATAAGTTACAGAGTCAGGAGGACAGCCAGTCTCCTCCATTTCTTTCAAGATATTCAAAGCCTCAGAGTAAACTCCGGCTTTCCCAAACACTTGAAGCAAAGAGTTATAAGTAACAGTTCCTGGTTTATAACCCTGTGATTTCAACTGAGCAAAGAAATTCCTTGCTTCATCCAACAACCCCTCCCTACCACAAGCAGAAATCACAGTACTACAAGTGAATTCGTCGAATTTAAGCCCTTTACTCTTAATCTCATCTAGAAGACACAATATCTTATCCCAAGACCTACCCATCTTTCCATAAACATCTAGCATTACATTATAAGTCACCAAAGTTGGAACCAGACCCTTCTCCTTCATGTTCTCAAAAATCGAAACCGCCTTCTTATACTTGCCCGTTCGAGCATAAGCATGAAGAATCGAGGTATAAGCTCGAACATCTAATGTATACTCTTCAAGAGGAATAACATCAAACAATTTAACTGCAACAGTATGCTGTGATTCTCTACCTAAAATCCTAGCCATCAATTCAACAACCTGATAATTCATCTTCTCATCTTGTAACCTAACATTCATCAAACCCCATTCAAACAACAAAACAGCCTTTTCCCAATTCCCCAAAACATCTAACCCCTTCAATAAACTGATTAAATCAGCTTCTAACAAATCAAATTTCACAGAATAAAAGAAATCAATCAAATTACACAAGGGTATTCCCAACATAGAATTCAATAACAACTTACCCTTATCAGACAAGAAATCGAGTGAAGCAACACCATTCTTACCCACTTCATCCGCCACCATTCGAGTGGCGGAATTCGAGTCTATGCAATGAAAACCATTATTATTGAAGGAGTTCAGAGATGAAAGTGGCAAAGAAGGCAAAAGGGTATTATTGGAATTGGTGAATTTAGAGAAATGGGTATTGGTTGGAGTAGAAGAAAGATGAAGAAGGTGTTGAAGAAGAGAATCAATGGCTAAAGAAGGAGGAGGGTTTTGGGATTGAGGAGGAAGAGGTAAAGTAGTAGAGCTAAATTTCAAGGCTATATTTGGTTGTTGTTGATGATTTTGTGGAAGAATTGGTTTTGGTTTTGCTTGTTGAATTGGTAATGTTGGTTTGTTGGGGAAGATGGTGCCTTCCATTGAAGCTAAACATGTAAAGATTGAAGCTTTATGTTAATGGAAATGGAAGAGAATGAAGAAGATAAAAGGGGCTAAAGTTTTGTGGGAAATTGAGTGAATTGGATAAGTAAATAAGCGGTTTTGAAAAGGGAAGAATGTTAGAAAGAAAGAAGATAACAGAAAGAGAGAAGAGGTCACCATTAAAAGAAGATTGGGAGTAGTTTTTCAGTGATTGTGCACTTGTGTGCATTTGCCTAACCATAAGATCTTTTGAGATAGATGACAATAATTCAGAAACTATCTACAAGTATTTTTTTTTTTAGAATTTTTTTTTCTTTGATAACAACCATAAACGATTGTAAAATTTGTAATCATTTTAGAAATTACCACTTAAAATTTTAAATATATATATTTTTTTTAGGAAATTTTGATTTTTACCACCTTCAAATAACGACTTTATTGAATTTACCACCTCCAAAAAAAAGATTTACTTTACCCCCTTATAAAAAAATTAAACATCAGTTTTCCCACCTAAGCCTAACTCTGGTGACGAAAACCACCAGTGGGGCCCGCCATAACAGCTAGTTTTTGAAATTATCCCCAAATTCTCTCGATTTTCCTCCTAATTAAACAACCTTCTTCATTTCCACATCAAATTGTTGAAGATTGAAGTTTTTTTTTTTTGCGATTTTCTTTACAAATCCTTAATTTGGGTAGTAAATGAGCCAAAGTTCATCTTATAATTTGCTTATAGCTTGGTTTTTGGTCTGATTTGTATCCTTAATGGCTTAAGGATTGCAAACAAAAATGTGTTTGATCTTATAAATACCGAATCCGTGGATGAGCAACAACAATTACTCGTACCTGAGCTGCTTCAATTTCTGTTTCCTGAACCTGATTGTTATATGACAGAAGTTTCAGAAAACAATCGGCGACGAAGAATAGATTCGACTTCTGGAAAAAAATTGTTCTCGTAATTCGGAGGTAGTGTGACCATTTCTACTGCCAAATTTTCATTGAAGTTAATTGTATTTGAACACAATTACCATAATCTAACCCTAATTTTACTGCCTAATTGAAATATCAAAAACCCCAAATTAATTTACACTTACATGAACCCTAATTATTTACAATATGAAATTGGGGTTGAATTAATAACAGAAAACATGCAATTTCAATTATACTTAGCAGTTGTAACATAATCACGCAAACAATTGCAAAAAATTACAACAGAATTCATGAAAATTGCTTACCTTTTCGCTGTTTGTCGTCGAACAGTTCAATTGATTCAGGGCCGAGTACAATCTTCAATAATTTGATAATTTGAGGATGTGGGATTGTTAAGGATCACCCAAAATCAGAATTTGTGAAGAAAATGGCAAAAAAAAACTTCAATCTTCACGAAATAGATGTAGAAATGAAGAAGTTAGGTTTAAATCAATGGGAAATCGGGAGAATTTGGGGATAATTTCAAAAACTAGCTGTTATGGCGGGCCCCTCTGGCGGTTTCCGTCACCGGAGTTAGGCTTAGGTGGGAAAACTGATGTTTAATTTTTTTATGAGGTGGTAAAGTAAATCTTTTTTTTTTTGGAGGTGGTAAATTCAATAAAGTCGTTATTTGAAGGTGGTAAAAATCAAAATTTCCTTTTTTTTACAACCAACAATTTTCCAAACAAATAAAATTTTCTTACAAAATACAATGACGTCATAAATTATTCTCCTTCTTCAATTCTCATGTTCAATTGCAGATTTTGTCCACAAATATTAAAATTGGGTTAGGTAAAAGTGTTAGGGCTATTGTAGTAGATTCAACATAGTTCAAGCTTACAAAATTATGATATATATGCTGGATTTATGATTATATCTAGTTATTTAGAAAAACATCTATACTATATATTAAAATGAGTTCCTAATCAAGGATGTTTATGTCAAGAATTGAACTCAAGTTCATTGGAAAATGGATAAGAAGCCATACCACCTTTGCAATCTAATACAAAGTACTTTTGTTTATTTATTCTTCTTAAATATAGTTAATGTATGGCATGAGATTTTTTTTATACAAATTACTAGATGAAGCCCGTGCGATGCACGGTTTGTTTGATTTTTTTTTTTTTTTTTTTGGTATTTATGAGCCTAAATTTTTTTATATATTTAGATAAAATTCATAATATTAAAAGATAATATATAATTAATTTAAAATTAAAAATCTCATTTGCCAATTTTTCTTACATGGCTTTTGAATTATTTAATTCTAAAAGAAATTAATAATCTCGTATTTAATTGGCTACTACTAAGATTTATAATCCTACATGGCGCGCTGAGAAAATTAGATCCTACGTGGCTCTCTAAAAACTCGGGAAAAAACTCCCCTTTATATATATATTAGATTTTCTTCATCTAAATCTATAATAAAAGTATTTAAGATTATCATAATACAAGAAAACTACAATTCAATGTAAAGAATATTTAACGTATAGATCCGGGGCATCGCCCGGGCTAAATACTAGTTTGAATTTAAGGAAAAGACGTGTGAGCCCTAATTCTTCACTGCAACAATTTGTACTAAAATTTGAACAATAATATCAATTAATACGTGAATTAATGCAAATTAGCCCTAATTTCGTAATTATTCACTAAATAACAAATCCCAATTTCAGTTTAAAACCTAAAAAAATGAACACCATAATTTCATAAATTAGGTACCTAATTGTTTGTTTTGTTTTGCATAATGTTGATTTACAATTAAGAAACTGAAAAATTGACAAACTTTTTTTAAGGCCTAATAGTCCAAACATCACCAAAATCGTAAACTTTCTTGACTCTACATGATCATGATTAGAATATAAAGGTGATCACGGGACGGGTCAAAATTTGCCTAAAACTGGTTGTTAAAATTTTCCAAATCCGAAAGACAATTAAAAATCAAGTTAGGCCCAAAATTCATGTCCAAAATTCTGCCTAAACCCGTAAATTTTTCGGCCCGGGTCAAGGTCAGGCTAGATTTGATCAAATTAAGGATAGGCCGATCAAAACTTTAGCTGAGTCCAAGAATAAAATTGTCTCAAAACCTCACTACTTTCCAGAAACATTTTCCTAATCCTAACAATTCTTACTTCAAATCATGATAAACAATCAACCTAACCTGATGATCCATACCTAACTTGACATAAACCGAACTTACCTTAAACTAGATCCAAAATGATTCACCATCGAACTAACTTATCCTAACTGAATTGGCCTCTATCTTAAGTAAAATTTACATTTACTCATATAAACCCGACTCAAGTCGAAGGGTTAGGCAAATAATTACTCTTGTATTGACCCATATAAACTCCCCCTCTTCCCCTATCAAGACCCCACCTAAAAAAGAAGTTAGAAAGCCAAAAAAAAATCAAGTCTTTGTAGTCTCTAGTACTTTGTACTAAGTTCCTACAAATCCCCAAGTAATAAATAAACAAGGTTCGCTTATCTAGCAAGCGTTAAAACTAAAAAGACGCAACCCACAAGAAAGAAGAACAAAACACAGAAACAAGACACAACATAAATATTTTTACTTCTCAAATTAAAATCAACCAAAAATCCAATCTTTCATTTGCTCAGATATTTTTGTATCATCTCATCATTCTTTCTCTCTGTACCTCGTTTTTCTTTCTTCTATACGCACCGAACTTTTCACCCAAAGATCTCTATCTCTCTTTCTCTTTCCTATCCACTCATCTTTAATCTTCTTCTTCAAACCCTAATCATCCCCACTTCCCTTTTTCCTCTGCATTTTCAAAATTCCCCCTTTTTTGATCTTTCTTTTCTGGGTTTTTGATGGGGTAACCTAGTTTTAATTTCAAGGGGTTTTTGAGAAGAGGGATACAAAATGATGGAGTGGGATAGCAGCTCCTCTGATGATAGCGGAGATGAATTTGAAGGATTTTTGCTTAATGATGGAGTTGGTTCTGTGCCTTTTCCTGTTCAAAATCTCCTTCAAACGACGCCGTGTGGTTTTGTTGTTACTGATGCTTTGGAAACTGACCATCCTATTATTTATGTTAATACTGTTTTTGAGATGGTTTCTGGATATCGAGCTGAAGAAGTTCTTGGTCGAAACTGGTAATTCTTCAATTTTTTTTTTTTATTTTATGTATTTGTTCTATAATGGAGTTAATTTAGTGATTTAATTGGTATTCTTTTGATTTTTTGATGTGGGGTTTTATGGGTTTTTGCAATTTGTGGCTGGAATGATTGTTTTCGGCAATTTAATGTCATTTTTTCAAGTGGGTGTTTGTAATTTGCTGGAATTTTGATGATAATTCTTCTAATGAATTATGAAGAATATAATATGTAATCAATTTGTTTATTTAGTAAGTAATTGGTATTTTTATGAATTTTTTGATGTGGGGTTTTCTGGGATTTTGCAATTCGTGGCTAAAAATGTTGTTTTTGGTAATTTAATGTCATTTTAAACTTTGGGTTTTAAACTTTTTTTTGTTGGGTTTTGTAATATTCTAGAATTGGTTAGGTTTGATGGAATAAGAATAATTATGAAAAATTCCCTTTTTGGTATTATGTCTCCAGTTAATTATCTCTGGTTTCATCGCTTGGTTACTTTTGAGGGATACATAAAAGGGGTAATACTTGGGAGTTGGGACAAATTGTTGTTTGTGATATCATAGGAAACTTTAGAATAATGTTTAATTAGGGATTGATAGTGTTATGTACTTATGTATGAAATATGAATGTTTGGACCTTTGTTTCAATTGAACTTTCCATCAGCTGATCATGACATGGCTTTGGTTTGTCCGGTCTACTCTGTGGCATGGGGTTCGTACCAATAAAGATAAACAAAAAATAATATTCGTAACTTGAGCTAGGACAGCTCAAGCTGGTCTTCAATTGGAGCGTATTAATGCTCAATGACTTTAGACTAAACCTTTACTTAATCAGCTCTAAATCACTGTTTGTTGTTGTTAATTATGAAAGATAACTGGCATGCTCTACCACGAATTTCATTATTATTAATTCACTGTTCTTGAATGGAAACTATATGCTTTGATGTCTGTAGCTCAGCTCAAAAAATCCTGCCCTGCTGCAGCTGCCTCTTAGTCTGAAACTTATGGGGCTTTACCAACTCTTTGTGTTTAGTATACTGCTTGCTAGCTTGCTCCCTCTCTGTTATGTCTTATTGAGGTGCTAGGAGCTCTATTGGGAAATAGTTTAGGTGAATATAAATTATAAACTGAAGTTTTTGGTGTTGGATATGACCTTAAGTAACTGAAGTTTTGAAATTGGACCTTATATCTGGAAAAGCTTAAACTTATTGGCCTAAGTATTGCTTTATCAGCCTGCATGTCTATCTTCAGTGTAGGCTGAATCTAATTGCCACAACTTGTGTTATGTTTTGGCCACTGGCCCCCAACCACTTTAGTTCATGCATGCTATTGTATGATGACTGCACTTAACATGCACCTGGTAGGCTGGTACTATATGACAATCTATGCATATTGGTTGGTGTATGTGCTTGCACCTTCAATTGCCTTAGTTTTAACATGCTGGAAATCTGGAATCTGCATGTGATTTGGTATATACTTGTGAAATGTGATAATGAAATTTGTCATCTTACTCTTACATCACATCAATGTTTATTTCTCAAAGGATATTCTTTCTTTTTTTTCTTTTTAATTTTACCTTGGGTTGTAGGTGTAGCTTTCTTGTACCTGGTGTGAATTTATTTAAGTAACCTTTTATAAGCAATTGCTTCTTTAGGAAAAGAAGTTGGGCATTCTTGCAATAAGTTTGTGACTTTAGGACACAGTCACTCTGCACCCAGTTAGAAGTCTTAGAAGTGGTGTTGTGTTGATGCTTATTTTATTTAGTTTCGGTGGATATAATGTGGTGAATGTATGATTTTTTGGATGGGGGTATGAAGCATGATAATTTCTGTACAGAATCAGTATCAAGAGTTAGAATGGCGTTTTTTTTCTTTGCCATGAGTTGGATTGTTCCTTTATGTTGCATCAGCTCTAAAACATCATATTTGGTCATAGAATGAAATTCCTCATCTTTTAGTAGCCTCAATATAGTCATTGAGTAATAGTTTGTTATCTCTCTCTAGCAATTTGTTAAAACAACTGACGTCAAGTGATATTAAGTCTAGCTTTAGGAGACCTATTACAAGTTTTCTTTGAATACATATTCAGTTCTAGTAAGATAGCCCGTCCTACTACTGAATTATCTCTATGCTGATAGACTGTATACACTGACACACACAAACAATATTGGTGCGTCCTTTGCCATTTGGATCATTACTATGTGAGCTTTGCTCTTTTATCAAATTATTAATTGTCTGACTCGTACCATATGAATTTTATACCTCATATTTCCTCCACCAAACACTCACTTGGACACAAGTCTGCGGCACACACATACAGGTGGTTGTAATAGTGAGGCTATGTTGCAGGAGGAATTCCATTCAGTCACCATGTCTTTCTCATGCTGTTTGTTTAATACTTTTTTTTTTTCATTATTATTTTTATTTTCCCTTCATGCTTCCCTCACCATACTCACCATGGTGCCTAGTGCTTTATGCTTCCATGGCAATGGTTATATTGAAAGAAATGCAAGTGATCACTCTCTGATAAGCAATAGTATGTAAAAACATAAGTAACTGAAGTAATCATTCAATTGTTGTTAAAAAAATCTGCAAAAGATATAGCCATACTGGATATTAAAATCTCCATCTTAATTGGTTTGTTTAATTTTTAAAACCCTGCATTGTCATTCTCATGTCAATTGTCAAATGAGACATTACCCTCGTTATCAATTACAGTACAGTACAATTGCTAGTATGTTAGAACTCGGAAGTGTGTTAAATCAAACAATCATTATGGAGCAAATCATTATCTTGGGTCTGGGAGGCAAATCCAACTTTATACAATATCCTAAAGTTTTGGGTGTCTAATGATATTTCCCCCAGCATTAACCCCGAACAAATTTCCTTTTTTGCACCATTTGTTTAAGAAGTGTTCTGTAGTCCCATGTATGTAATAGCAGTAAGCAGTTCCTTGTCTCCTCCAAGGACAAATGTTTGGTGTTCAACCTGACTATTGCTGTTTTTTTTAGTACTTCCTCATCCCAATATGAGCTTTACTTTTATCTTTTGGGTGACTGTTCATTTCCTTTATACAATTATGTTTTCGTTTTCCCTCTTCATCCATATATCTCTCCTTTTCTCTACACTATTTCATTCTTGATTTTTTTTCTCTACCCACTTTCAACTTTTAAAACTGTATTTAACAACTGTTCTCAATCTGCACGTCAATCCCAAGTGATGCTCATGTTGTGGTGGGGGTGGTATTAGGTATTACTGTAAATAATAATTTGATTAATAGGCACTTGGAGTTTTAGTGTTCTGGACGTCCTCTGTGATCATATTCTCTGCAATTAAACTATTTTTATTGTGCTATTCTGTTTATGATAGAGAGGATGGATGAAATTGACTCTGTATGCTGCTCTGCAGTCGTTTTTTGCAATGCAGAGGTCCATTTGCTAAGAGAAGACATCCTTTGGTGGACTCTGCTGTTGTTGCGGAAATAAGGAGGTGCCTTGAGGATGGGATTGAGTTCCAAGGTGAATTGTTAAATTTTAGGAAAGATGGCTCTCCTCTCATGAACAGATTGCGGCTGGTGCCTATCTATGGAGATGATGAAACCATTACTCACTTTATTGGAATTCAGTTATTCTCAGAAGCTAATGTTGATCTTGGTCCACTTCCTAGCTTTACAGCAAAAGAATCCATGAGGTCATCTGATCTATATCGTTCCAGTCTTTCATCATTTCAACCTTTTCAATCTCGAGAGCGAAACATGTGTTTTGAGGTTTGTGGGTTGTTTCAACTGAGTGATGAAGTCCTTGCTTTGAAGATATTGTCACGGCTAACGCCAAGGGATATTGCTGCTGTGGGTTCTGTCTGCAGGCGGCTTTATGAGCTAACAAGAAATGAGGATCTTTGGAGAATGGTATGTCAGAATGCTTGGGGTAGTGAAACCACCCGCATTCTTGAGACTGTTCCTGGGGCAAAGCGACTTGGGTGGGGCCGGCTGGCTAGAGAACTGACTACCCTTGAAGCAGCTGCATGGAGGAAGGTGATTGTTGGCGGTGCAGTGGAGCCATCACGTTGCAACTTCAGTGCTTGTGCAGTCGGTAATCGGGTTGTCTTGTTTGGTGGAGAGGGGGTTAACATGCAGCCTATGAATGACACCTTTGTGTTGGATCTAAATTCTAATAATCCTGAGTGGCGGCATGTCAAAGTGAGCTCTCCACCACCAGGTCGTTGGGGTCACACTCTCTCTTGCGTAAATGATTCAAATCTGGTTGTTTTTGGTGGTTGTGGAACTCAAGGCCTGCTTAATGATGTTTTTGTCCTCGATTTGGATGCCAAGCAACCAACCTGGCGTGAAATTTCTGGATTGGCTCCTCCTCTTCCTAGATCATGGCACAGCTCTTGTACACTTGATGGGACCAAATTAATCGTGTCGGGTGGATGTGCAGATTCAGGGGTACTGCTGAGCGACACCTTTCTTCTGGATCTCTCATTGGATAAGCCCGTGTGGCGAGAAATTCCAGCAGCTTGGTCTCCACCTTGTCGTCTTGGCCACTCATTGTCAGTTTATGGTGGGGAGAAAATCTTGATGTTTGGTGGTTTGGCTAAGAGTGGACCACTTCGCTTCCGTTCAAACGATGTATACACAATGGACTTGAGTGAAGAAGAGCCATGTTGGAGATGTGTTACTGGAAGTGGGATGCCAGGTGCTGGAAACCCTGGAGGCATTGCTCCTCCTCCTCGGTTGGACCATGTAGCTGTGAGCCTTCCAGGTGGTAGAATTCTAGTGTTTGGTGGATCAGTGGCTGGTCTGCATTCTGCCTCACATCTGTATCTACTTGACCCTACTGAAGAGAAGCCAACGTGGAGGGTGCTAAATGTACCCGGTCGACCCCCAAGATTTGCTTGGGGACACAGCACTTGTGTCGTTGGGGGCACGAGAGCTATAGTTCTTGGTGGTCAGACAGGAGAAGATTGGATGTTAACTGAGCTTTATGAGCTATCCTTAGCAAGTAAAGTTAAAATTGAGGATCTGCTATAGGTAAAACATCAGCATCATTTCTTCCTGGAAGTAATAAAAGATGAAGGATTTGTCGTTGATTATACGTATCTGTTCAACAGCCAAATTTGCTGTTGTGCAGACTGCAGATAGAATTTGTCATCGGCTGTGTCAGCCTCAGGTGGGTACTCTTGGGCGAGCTCTGGCTTTGCGTCTTTTGTCAGATTGACTTCATTCCAGGTTTTGATTTTTGGGGTTTGTATGAAGTTTCACTCTGAAAATTTGTGAATCATTCTTCCACTTTTTACTGCAGATCTTTTAGGTGGGTTAGTTCCTGTAGTGTAGGTTATCACTTTGCTATTCTTGTTCTAGATCCTGTGTTTTTGTTTTCTCCTCCTGTTTGAGGTCTGTAGTAGCTGTCTAGGATAATGGGTAAAAATAAAGGTTTAAAAAAAAAAAAAAAGGTAAGATGGAAAGCGGGTTTGCATGTATATAGACCCTGTAATGTACTGCTTTTAGTATGCATCTGTAGTGAGAAATACGCTTTTGCTCTCTAATTATCGTACAAAGATCAATCTCTCTTCAGGTTTATACATACTGCAACTGAGGAGGTTCTGATGAGAAGCTGAAGCCGAAGCCCGGTTTTATTACTGCAATAGATTGATGTTACTATATATTTTTGTTCTATTTTACTGCTAAAAATCTATCTGAAGAGTTCTCTTTTCATTCACATATTTCTAATTTACACATCTATTCATTTTGTGGTGTGAGTCATCTCACCTGCTGATATTTATTCATTTTTGTTATGCCTTAAGATTTTAATTATAGCCTGTTGTCATTCTTTTTTCTTTTATTCCAGTTAAGCATTTAAATTTTACAGTTTGTTCAGGTGATACAATCTGAAATACTTTGCAGTTAAGATTTTAGTTTATGATATAATCACGGTTCATTTCATGTACTTATAGCTCAGTATACTACCTCCGTTACTGATTATGTGCAACGATTTGACATAAAGCAGAGAGGGAAAATGTCAAATCATTGCACATAACCTGTAACGGAGGTATTATGTACTTTTTAGTTGAATATAGATCTACCCATAACCCCAAAAAGGGTATGTTTGGCAAATTAAATTTAAGTAGCATCTCTTATAATGGTACCTTGTGGTCCTTATTGCTCCATGTTCATGTCCACTCATGGTACAATTGTACATTGATACCATACCCATTGCCAAGTTGGCAGCAATTTGAAAATTAGATGATAAAAGGATTTTTTACAAAACTGAGCCCTATTAGCAAACTATTTACGAATATAGACGCGTGGCCAAACTATTTACGGAATTGAGCTTCTGAGGTAAAACGCTACCTCGGTCAGCGTTTTACCTCTGTTATTATTTTTTTAAAAATTTCTTATTTAGTGAAATACAAATTTTTTTTTTAAAAATATGGAAATACATAAAAACGCTGCCTCAGTCAGCGTTTTTGTCTCAGGCTGTAACAACCCTTAAAACGCTGACTGAGTCAGCGGTTTTGCCTGGTATATTTTTTGCGCACTCACTCTTCCTCAAAACTAAAAACTCAAACTCACTCTTCCTCACGCAATAGCCTATCTTCCTCAAAGCTCTGCCGTCGCCGCTGCCGCCTGCTGCCTGCCGCCGTCGCCGCCGCCTATTGCCCGCTGCCGCCGCGCCTCTCCTCTTTTTTATAATCACATTGTTAGTACTTCTCACTTATTTGTTTTTAAAATTTAAAAACCTAGGTTAGTTTGATAATTATATACTACATTGTTTTAATTTGATAATGTTGTTGTTTAATCTAAGTTAGTTTGATGTAAATTGACAATTATGTTGATAATTCTAAGTTGGTTTGTTGTAATTTGATAATTGTCTAGTATAAAAGCCCTAAATTGATGTTAGTTTAGTAAGAAAGTTTATGATGAAATTGTGGAAATGTTTGATAAAATTGTTGAAAATGTTGATGAAATTGTTGATAATGTTGATGAAATTGTTGTTTTAGTTTGATAAAGTAGCCTACATTGTTGTTTAATTACGAAAATTTTGTTATGTAGAATATGTTGGTTGTTATAGTGTGAATATGTTCGTTGTATACTTTGTTGTGGTTGTAATGTGAATTGGAACAATGTTGGTTAATTATGTTTATAGTGTGAATATCTTGGTTGTTTTTGTGCGAATTGGTGGAGATTGCATGCAATTAAGATGTGTTTTTGGTTATTGTATAGAATATGGCTGCACAAAACGCAGCTTTGTTATGCCGATGGGGGGGGTGAATTTGTGTCTGATGGACCGAATGTCCAGTATAGTGGTGGAAATATGGAACCATTGCCACTTGGACCGGACATGACTTTCAACGATCTGATGAACAAGGTTCATAGCATTATTGGCTTAAACCCAATGAATGTACAACTTAACATTCAAATGAGGTTTGAGACTAATAATGCGGTTCAAGTGTTACCTTGTTCTAACGATAGACATTTGAAAGCTTTGAGGAGTGCTGTTTTAATGAGGGGTTATCCACATGAGATATATGTAGAAATAGCGTCTACGTGTACGCAACAAAGTACTCGACCAGATCAACAAGCTACCTATTTTTCCGGTTACACAGAGTCCTTCCGAATGCCCTCACAAGACATTCCATCAACTGAATATGGGATGGGTTCCTTCAGCAGACTGCTTCATGACGATCGGTTCCAGATGCCGTTGAGTTCACATATAGCTTCACCTGTATATGGTGGAACATCTACGACAATGTTTGGCCAATCTGGGCCTTCGACATCGAACACAGTTATATCTTCTCCCATGCAACTCCAAAGTTATTCACCTACGCAGCATGATGATCATACATCACCGTCTCAACCACTGGTGAATCATCTTGAAAATCTACAACATATGGTGAATAACGAGTTGTCTCTGTATGATGCGCTCCGGGAAACAAATGATGAGGCTGAGAGCGAAGAGGAGGAACCAATTCTGGATAACATGGATGTTGATTCTACAGACATGGAAGGTGGGGAGGCCATGGTTAGAACTCCTATTCCTTGGTTAAGTCAAGTAAATGAGAATTATGAGGTTGATCAATATTGGGCCGAATCAGGTAGTCATACAACATTTGTGACCGGGGGGGGAGTTTGAGAAGGGTATGTTCTTTGAATCTAAGAAACTGCTTCAGGAAATGGTGAAGAAGTATTCTATACAAAGGAACCAATTCTACACCACAGTGACCTCGAATGAGAAGGTCCTTCATCTGCGGTGCAAGAAGAATTGTGGTTGGTCGCTACGAGGCACCAAAAAAAGTGAACACTCAGACGGCTTTACCATAGTCACATACAAAGGCCCACACTGGGACACCTGTGTCACTGAAGTGTTATCTACAGATCATGCACACTTGGATTCATCCATAATTTTCGATTTTGTGAAGTCTTTTGTGCAGAAAGATCCATGCTTGAAAGTTGAATTTATACAGGAACTCATATCCAAGCATTTTCAGTTCGACGTTACTTATCGAAGAGCATGGTATGCTAGGGAGAAAGCCATAACTGAAGTATTTGGAGATTGGGAGAGTTCTTATGGCCGACTTCCGCACTTCATGGAAGCACTCAAACAGTCAAACCCGGGAACCGTTGTTGTATGGAAACACAAAGCTCTGGTAGACGGTGTTTATTACAGCAACATGGAAGTGTTTGAACGAGTATTTTGGGCCTTCGGCCCTTGTGTTGAAGGTTTTAAACATTGTATGTCTGTCATCTGTATCGATGGGACACATTTGTACGGGAAATTTAAAGGAACATTGTTGGTTGCTACAAGTGTGGATGCAAACTTCCAAGTATTTCCGCTTGCATTTGCGTTAGTCGAAGGGGAAAACATTTCTAGCTGGTCTTGGTTTCTGGGCTGCATTCGGGTTCATGTCACTCAACGGGATGGCCTCTGTGTTATATCTGATCGACAAGCTGGGATCATTGCAGCAATGAATGACCCTAACGTTGGATTCACCGAGCCGCGAGCCTATCACAGGTTTTGTGTTCGGCACTTGGCTTCTAACTTGAAGACTCACGTGCGAAGAAACGACATGAGAGATATGTTCAAGGCTGCTGCGTACCAAAGACAGGAAAGAAAACTGGTAGCTGATATGAGTTTGATCGTTCAGGCGTGTACCAAGGCCATACAGTATATTGTCCAAGTGCCCTTGCCTATGTGGTCTTTGTTTCACGATGCTGGTCGCAGATATGGGATATGTACTACGAACTTCTCAGAAACATTTAACAATGTGTTGAAGGGTGCTCGATTTCTACCTATCATGTCCCTTGTTGAATTAACATTCCATAGAGTCAATAAGTATTTCACTGATAGAAGGGAATTATCTTAGACTAGATCTGAATAGGGACTTGCATACTCCCCCAAAGTCACATCCATTATGGAGAAAAACATTGCAAAGGCTAGATATCACAAAGTGGAAGCGTATAACCGTCGACTGTTTATGAACAGATACCATGGACACCCGAGATAGGACACCCGGACCCACCGACCCTTCTGTCCTTACACTACAGGACACACATCGTAGCGTTGACATTTGGAGTCAGTCGGTTGATCCGGCAGGCATACTGACATGCAGGCACTACACTGTTGCGTTCCTTGGCGCTTGGGTTATCGATCCCCGCATTCTGCCTTTCGTGGAGTACGCTGGCTTCATGGGTATACATCGGATGGCGTTCAGAGAGGTCGACCCAGCGCTTGTTACTGCGCTTGTGGAGAGATGGAGGCAGGAGACGCACTCCTTCCATCTACCTGGTGGGGAGGCGACCGTGACGTTGCGAGACGTGGCGATACTCACACGGCTTCCCATTCATGGGAGTCCGGTGTCTGGATCTGCGTTGGCCGATCCCCCCGGTTATGTAGCTCAGGTTCTCGGGGTTCAGCCAGGACCGGACGATATCAGGGGCGGCGGATTGAGGACCGGCTGGATACGCGACACTTTTCGTGTGTTGCCTGATGGTGCTGATGAGGCCACTATTGCGAGACATGCTCGAGCGTACCTTTTTCTGCTCATCTCGGGTGTGTTGTTCGGTGGCAAGAGTGGCAGCCACTTACAGATCATTTATCTGCAGCTGGTAGACCACGACTGGGAGCATATTCGTGGCTACAGCTGGGGCAGTGCTTGTCTGGCGATGTTTTATCGCCATCTGTGTAGAGCATCCCGCCGGGGTTCTCGTGAGATCAGCGGACCATTATTTTTGCTTCAGATAACCTACCTATCTGTTAACAATTTAATTCGAAAAGTTCTTACTTAGTTTACAATTAACCTAGTTTTGTGTGTTTGATGTCCGGTATTGGTCTTGGGAGCACATCCATGTAGGCAGGCCAGGTAGGCCTGCTATACATCGTCAGGGGCAGCAGGATCAGGACCAGCAGTATGAGCGGTACATTCCTCCACCACGGCCTTCCGCTGACGAGGCGTACGCTTGCAGATGGGCGGTCCCCAAGCTGACATATGCGCATGCGGCGAGGGGCCTGCCGTACTACCGAGACGCCCTTGATCGACTGACCGAGGATCATGTGAAATCTTTAATTTGTTTATGAAATTGTTATTTATTATGTATACTCTTAACATATTTAATATGCACTAACCTGTTTATTATGTTACTTTTTATGTGTTATCGCAGATGACATGGGACCCGTATGAATCTGATTTAGTTGTTGCCATGCCTCCACATCTGCTAGATCA